AGTGCGGCCTTTGGCTGCCTCAACTTAGGGTGGCGAGGACTATAGTCGACCAGTTGGTGTGAAGAGAGTTGAACAGTAGCATGAGTATCGATTTACAAATTCCTTTCCCAGCTGACGTGAGCTAGGCGATGACCGGTAGGGCTGACTTCCAAGAAACATCGTTAACCTATAAGTCAAACACCCAATCAGCCAATGAGAAGGGCTAATGAAGAAAATGGAGGGGTGAGGAGTCTCTCAGCTGGAGCTGGAGGACCTGAAGAAACAAATCGAGGAGTTCACCACGGGCCACTGGACCAAGAAGATCGAGAGTTTCGGAGTGTGTGTATCGGTGCGTGTGCTTCTGGGACAATAAACAGTATGTAAAAAGAATAAAATATATAACTAAAGTTTTGTAAAACAAACAAGTCATATAGTTTGTCAGTAACTCATTCTTTTAAATTTTTAATTGATTTTCTTTTCTTGTAAATTATAACGTTGTACATTTATTTATCTTATTATTTTTGATCTTTGCCTTTTCAAAGTTTTCTTTTGCTTTACTTTTGTTGTTTTTCTTAATTTAATTTTGTTCATTACACGTTGAGCAACACCCTTAAGCAGTCTTATGTCTCATTAACCTAACACCTCTAGACTATCAAGTTCAAACATTTATTCAGAGGAAAATTCTTGAGTGATTTTATTGGGTTGGCTAAATAGAGTTTTTGTTTCAACTTTTGAATTACTTATTTCATTTAAACATCTTTGCCACCAAGACTGATAATTGAATATAATATAATAGGTTACGTACCTTATTCCGTCTTCAGTCTTAACTTAGTCAATGCTGGATGACTAGTTTCGGGAACAAAGTCCCCGAGTAAAGTAAAGTTTAAATAAGGATTTGATAATGGGACTTTGTTCCCGAAACTAGTCATCCAGCATTGACTAAGTTAAGACTGAAGACGGAATAAGGTACGTAACCTATTATATTATACTTATTTCATTTTTACAGTACACTCATTAGTCATTAAACACCAACATTATTTTATTTTACTAGCTATATATTAACTTTGCTTCTTAAGATTGGCACTCGCATATATAATATAAATATAAATATCATTTTATCTTTATGTATAGTTATCTGAGACATGTACGAACAAGAACAATAAAAAAATATATCTAAAAAAAGAATATTTTATCTATAAAACTGTCAAAATAGTTAGAAGATCAAAATAAAATATATAATCATTTTTACATGTTTTCTTTACAAATTACAGAGAAGTTTACTGGTAAGAATTTTAACAAAATTAACTGCTATAGATAAATATAAGGTTTATTGGTGAAGTATAAAAACAGTACATAACAATAAAAGGCAACATATAATGATAACTATAGCTGCCCTCTACAGCGGCCAACCTTCTCCATAATATTTTTGTCCAGAGCTGGGGCTACATCTTTCTTCCTGAAACAAACATTTTAATCTTGGTAAAGAAAGTCACAATTTTAAAATACTCAGGGGTGCCAAATTATGCGGGTTGGTGTAGTTGGTAGTTTCAAATAAAAAGGTCTTATTTTACAATAAATTACCATAGGTACCCTTAACTAAAAGTTTTTAACTGGTTTATTCCGCCTACAAACGTGCGACACAAACTCGATCTTTGAGGGGCTTTCATTGCTTGTTAAAGACACATGTTAACCTCTTGCCACATTACCAAGAGTTATTCTTCTTGCTAGAAGAATAACTCTTGTTAATGTGGCAAGAGGTAGATATCTTCCTGAGGAGGATCTAATTGGGAAGCTACAGGCTTTTATCGGACGCCTGAACTTGTAACTTCAAGACAACAACTGTATGGGGTGCGCAATAATTTTATTTTTGGATGAAGTGCTTTATGGTCTTGGCCTGCCCCTGTTAACAGTTTTAACAGGATCAGCAACAGGTAAATTAAACATTTATATTTTGTCTAGGCCTATATTTCCCTGATCAAGTTAGTGCAGAGAAGTTTTTGTTGAATAATAGTTGTAAAGGCTTTAATTTCCTGAATTGAAATAAGTACCTGGGGACCGAGCCATGGCATAGTTTATTTTGATTGTAAAAGCAATATACAGGAATGGATGCTTTAGAAGAATTTGAAATTTATAAAACAATCAAAATTCAAGCTAACACATTATTAAACGACAAAATCATTTACAGTCTAACGCTCTGTATGATACTCTAATAAAAAAACAAGAACAGCTGATGAACAAAGAGCCGAGCTATACAAAGTCCACTGCCCAACCATCTTCCGCATCGCAGTCGTGACCCTCATCTGCAACTGTGCGCACAAGGTTGGGGTTGGACATTGTAAGTTTTTGTCAGTAAGCCTAGTCGTTTTGTTCATAAAACGTCTATGACTGTAAATAGTATATATGTCCGTGTTTCGCATTTAAACTCTTGATGACCCTTTCGAAGTTACAGTGTTAAATGTTCTTGTACAAGATCTCATGATGAGGACTTAAGTCCTTAAACCCCGTAATCTATAAGGACTAAACAGGATCAATCTGGCAGTACTGAGGTAATTTTATACCTTTAATAGTTGGTTCATTGATCTTGAGACAAAACAACTCAAATATGAAAATGAATATTATGTTATTGATATATTTTAACGTAAACAGTAGGGCAATTACAATGTTGGTCATAATTGTTTTTATACAGTAGGCCAACATTTGGTGGCTTTTGTTCATAAATTCGGACTACTTAACAACTGTTTGGATTAGGCGGTATAGTTCATCTTCCCGTTGCGAAGCACAGGCACAGAAGCTAATAAATTATTAAGTGATTTAATAAATAACTCTATATATAATATTTACAATAAACTATACCTTCAAAAACCTGGCTGTTTAACGGATGAAATGGCAGACATACACTTATCTCACTAGGTGCTCTTCCTTAAGTTCTTTTACGGAGTACAGCGGCCTATAATTAGTATTCCTTTCAGCGCCTTCTGAAGGAGGGTGCATCCATCTCCTGCAAATGAGTAGGCAGTTATGAGTTGTAGTTAATAGTAGTAGTAGAACGAGGATAGCTATTCTAGGTACGTTTGAGACGACAGCAGGAAAAGTCTATATTTTGTGCTCTTCTGGTATAGTACTCCTGCACCCCAGTGGCGGATCCAGAGGGGGGGGCTGTCGCAGTTTGGAAATATATGTCATATATTTTTGACTGCACGTAATACAGTAGTGCGTACAAATTGCGTACAATAATTTGTCACACTAACTTAGGACAAAGAAATGGTATAAAACTGCCATTTTTGAAGACTTAGTTTAAACAAATTTTTGGGGAGGGAGGGGGTACCCCCGAACCTCTCAGACACCCTGGTCCCCCCCCCCTTGTGACTGTTCTAGATCCACCACTGACTGCACGTCATCTTTTCTATGGTCAGGATATAAAGCACTACACCGTGAGTACCCTTAAGCTTCATTTCCATTCCTACAAGTCGCAGGCACATGTCGAGACCATGACGAGGCATATGTCGCACGTAGTTTGTCATGCCGTTTCCATTCCAGGCACAAGTCCCGCGACTACAACTGGCAGACAAGGCAGTGTTCTCTTTTATTGTGATGTGGTGAGGTTCGGTGGCTGATTTTGATTATATTGTGTTATACAAATCACCATGGATGACATAACAGCCTCTGCTTTTTTATTTATGGCTGGTGCATACAATGAACTTAGAAGAAAACTACCTAGATAGTGGATAAGAAGTTTTTTTGGCTAAAAGAGCATTGGAAGGTGCATTTAATCAATTGATGAGAGATTTGCGCGTACAAAGTGGCTTTGAAAATTTCCTCCAACGGACTCAACGAAATTTGAGGTTATGATTACCTCTCATTTATGAGCATGCGGTAGTTTGGAGGACCTGCGCATGCGCGAGTTGCAGGCACATGTGCCCGCGGCTTGGGCACATGTTTTGTCGCGCAGTCGGCGGGCACAAATTTGTGCCGCGACTTGAGCCAGGATGTTTCCATTCCTACAAATTTGGAGATTTGTGCCGGCACAAATTTGCAGGAATGGAAACGTAGCTTAAGATCCTTTAAGATTGGCCGGCAATGATCCAAATGCCACACAACTGTAATAATCCTAAAGGTTCTGGACAGCATCGTTGTATCATCTGCAAATAATAATGTTTTCCCATTCAGATTAAGGCAGGATTTTGTATAGGTTAGGCCTAATACCCTTAACCTCTTACTTACTTGAATACTTGTCTTCTACATCGTTGACCGACATGTCGGATAGATTGCGTCATGTTACTATTTACATATAAACACTATAAAACCATTAAAAAATGTCTAAATATACTTTTACTACTACTTTTGTGGCGGACGTGTCACGTTAAAAAAAGTGGTTCACTCTCCAACTCATGCAAGGCGTACAATGGCCTATTCAGCAGTCCCTCACGTATCTCCCTCTTAAAGTCTGGCAGGTCCATGTCACGCACTCGTTTAGGCAAGGTGTTGAATACCCTAATTGCCGAACGCGGGTAACTCCTCATTGTCTGTGCAAGTCGGCACCGAGGCATGTCAAGGTCTGGGGCTCTGCGGGTATTGTGGGTGTGGACCTCCTCCCTCCTGCCAAAGAGTCCCACCTTGTCCTTGAGTAGTACAAGGATGTCGAGGATATACTGGCTGAATACAGTAAGCACCCTATGCCGGATGAATATAGGGCGGCAGTGCTGCTTGTAGCCAGCAGATGACACTATCCTCATGGCTTTCTTCTGGAGCAGTAGGATGTCATGGGCTGCCGTAGAATGGCCCCATAGGACAAGGCCGTACGACACATGGCTGTGGAAGAGGGCGTGATAGACCATCAGCAGAGAGGGTTGACTTAAAGTAGAACGAAGTCTTCTTAGTAGGTAGGTAACTCTAGATAGCCTAACACATACCTTGTCTATGTGATGCTTCCAATTTAACCTGGGGTCAAGCCAGAAGCCCAGGAGTTTTACAGCCTCATCTTCCACAACAGGTTTGAGGGTACACAGGATGGTCTGTGTCTTGTCCTCATTCACCTTGAGCCTATTGACGGCAAACCAGCTCTTCGCTTCTTCCAGTAGGACAGTAGCTTCTCCACGGAGATCCTCTAGGTCTTTCCCTCTAGAGAACAGAGTAGTGTCATCAGCAAACAGTAGAGTACGGTTGTTAAGTGAGAGGTCATTAATCATGATAGTGAAGAGCACTGGCCCCAGCACCGAGCCCTGCGGCACGCCGTGAGGTATGCTGCCAACGCTGGAAGAGGCACCTCTCAGAGTAACATACTGCTTGCGGTCACTCAGGTATTCAGTCAGTGAGCCAAGGACTGCGCCACCCACCCCATACCTACTCAGTTTAGCAAGAAGGATTTTGTGGTTTACGACATCAAATGCCTTGCTCAAATCGCACAAACTTAGCAGGACAGACTCACCCTCCTCAAAAGCACTGGAAATAACGTCAACAAGGCTTAAAAGTGCAGAAGTGGTCGAGTGTTTACCTCTGAATCCGTGTTGGGCTTCCGTCAGAATGGCATTACCTTCCAAGTAGGCTACGAGTTGTTTCTTCATAACGGTCTCTATCACCTTGGAGAAAGATGGGAGGATAGATATCGGTCTGAAGTTGGACAGGAGTGAAGGGTCCCCTTTCTTGTAGATGGGTATCGTCCGGGCTATTTTTAAATTGTCAGGAAACATACCCTTAGCTAGGCAAAGATTGATCAGATCTGTGAGGGGTGGTGCAATTAAGTCTATTACAGATTTTAAGATATTAGTTGACACTCCATTTACATCTTGACTTGCCGAGGCTTTGAATTTCTTAACGGTAGAGATAATTTCATTGACACTCACCTTCGTCCAGCAGTTAAAGTTGTGTGTTTGGGTGAGATCCTTAACCGAATCCAGGGGGTCTGTCTGCAACACGGGTATATTTGTGATGAGTTCATCTGCTACATTTAGAAAATATGTGTTGAAATCATCAGGGGTGGCCAGAACTTCAGGGCCAGGACAAGGAGACCTGCAATCATTCACAATGTCCCATGCAGCCTTGCAAGGGTTGGGAGCGTTGAGGATTTTATCTGCATTAAACTTCCTCTTTGCATCCCTGACCTTAACACCATAGTCACACTTAATTCTACAGTAAAGTAAGTAATATCTCTGCCTGATATTGTCATCTGTTGCGCCCTTAAAATGATCATGAACAAGTAGCATGAGCTGTCGTAGCCTACCCAGGTCAGGGGTGTACCAATCCTTTGAACCTTTGGTGCCTTTGTGGTTTTTACCGGGAGAACTAGACATTGGCTTGGGCCGACTAATTTTAGGTGGATATACAACGTTAAATTTATCACAAAAAGTCTCAGTAAAAGCTGCAAAAGCAAGTTTGGGGTCAGAAATTGCTTTCAGGAAGTTCCAGTTTATAGCAGATAATTCACTCCTAAGCAAGGGAAGCAGATCCATGTTTATTGTTCGCTTAACAACAGAGTATTTGTCTATCCATGAGGAGGAAGGGCTTACCTTAGTAGTCTTGACTGTGAGTACCACCGCACCGTCGTGGTCAGCAATATGAGGCCTTACCACCTCCGCCTCAATGTCCCAAGAGTTGTAATTGGTTGCTACAGCATCCAGACAAGCCTCCCCTCGTGTTGGAAGCCTCGTGGGAATGTAAAGTCCAAAGCTGCGAAGAAGGTTCACAAAGGCAAACTCCTCGGGTGAGGGTTTCTCTAAGTGCACATTAAAGTCGCCACAGATAACTATGCTGTTTTTGTCAGATTTAGATATGTGATCGAGACACAGTTCAAGTTGGGAAAGGAAAACTTTAAAGTCACTGGCAGGAGATCTGTAGACTGACAACAATATTGTCTTAGTACTTAATATTTCTATAGCCGTGGCTTCAAAAACAAGTTCTTCACAAAAATCACTTAAGTCTATTGGTTTACAGTTAGGCCTGAAAATGTTAGATGCATAGATAGCAGTGCCACCATTTTTATGAGTTTTACGGCAGTAGATATTTACAAGTGTTAGGTTATTCATAGTCCTATAAAAATCATGTTCACTGTCCTCTAACCAATGTTCAGCAATACACAGAAAATCGCAACTTACCTCATCAATAAAGACAGATATGAGGTCACATTTATTTCTAAGACATTGAACGTTGAGTGATACAATTTTCACTTCCGTTAGGCTTGTAACTGTTTCTTCAGGCACACTAAGTTTACTACCAAGCCTAAAATCACCAACGACAATGGATGGGTCTATGTTTGCAGTGTCTTGTATATGGTTCGGCCTAAAAAAGATCTATTTTGGCTTTTTTGGCTCCGGGGTCCTTTACTTGGCAAGAATTCTCTCACCAACACACCAGCAGGCCAAAATTTAGGCTCGAGCACTTCGTTTTCAAACTCCTCTGGAACACTCACTTTAAATGATTTGTATGTTAAAAACCTTGATTTCAATTCCAAACACTCTCTGTCAGCTATGCCTTTACGTGACAAGTAGGCTAGTAAGTCTTCACACGATGTATTAGGGGACACACGAGAGACAAATAGTTGAGATCTTCTGCACGCTGATTTCAGGTTGTTCTCTACTATACCGGAGCCGATAATGACACTCCTCCTATTTTTCACTTGATTTGGGACTACTGTATTTATATTCCGTGAGGAAATACGGTTTCTTTGAGTTGGGAGATTATTTACAACACTTGAGTAAGTCTTAAGAGGCTTATTTTCACTTGACGCTACACTTCGTTGAGCATTAGAAACATGGCCACCATCTTTGTTCTTATCGTCGTCATTTGCGCTTGGGCTCACGTCTTCTTCTTCATTTACATCAACTACTTCCTTTTCTTTTCTCCTTCTCTCCACAGACGATAACCTTTTTTTGGCCTGACTGCGACTGCACCTTTTTTCTGCTGTGAACACTTCGGATTCAATTTGAACACCCTCAGCTGCCTCTTGTATTTCGTTAGCTATCCTCTCAACCAATGGGGATTTTTGTTGGTTTGATTCACTTGTGTTTGTTGCAACAGGTTCACTTTCGTTGGTTATGCTTAAACTGTTATCAATATCCAAGATGTCTGCCTTGTTTTCAGAATTTTCCTTAACATAATTTAGAGACAAAAGCTTCTTGATTCCAACATTGGTTTTGATACTCTGATTAAACAACAAGTTTAATTTTCTAGTCAAATTTGCTTCTAATTTATCAATGCTTCCTTCAATTAGATTACCCCTCATTGACGGGTAGGGCAGTCAAAATCGAAGCAAAAATTAAAGCCGAGTAGGCTAAGTTTATGGGAAGATTTCATTAGCTTAGTGTAGCCTAATGTTTTTAATATCATAAAATAAAAATGTCTTAAAATATTATTAGACTAGCCTAGGCTATTCATGGGGTTACAGCTCTTTTGCTTGATGCATTGAAATGGATTTGATGAAGTAGAACTACATATTACAACAAGTACTATTACCCCTGATCTATTTAACTGCACAACTATACTTATTATTTATTTTAACGTCTGTGATATATATTTGATAGGCTATGCATAAAAAATGTGACTGTGATAATAGGCCTATATCGCTATTGATCAAGTAGCCTATATACCGTGAGTTAATGTGTCTCAGACGAAGTCTATAGTAATCAGTGATTATTCAACGACCAATAAAATGGGCCTACTTAATTACTTGATGTCTTTAAGATGGCTAAGTTATTTTGTTAGTAGTATCAACTAAATTTAGACTAACCTACAAGGTTTATTATCACACATAAAAATGTTTTGATGGCCGTTGCCCTGGCGGTAGGTTAGTTGCGCATTTGCTACCTACAAAATCCGGGCCCTGTAGGGTGGGTTATAATGCGGTAGAATGGCGATAAACTTAGGTTAGTTGCCCATTGACGCCTTGAACAATAGATCTCTTGAAATTGTAAAGAGCAATGAAGCGTCTGCGTAGTCCTACGAAAAAGCCAGTCTACCAAAATAGGCAAATCATTATGAATTTAATGTGTACCATGTAACCTTGTAAGTTATAGCCATCCACCTCCACCTGTCACGTAAAGCCACAATAATCAAAGAAAAAATCTAGAGTGTAGTCTGTATTTACCAAATATAGTCTGTTTTCACCAATAGATCGCAGAATGTTTTTACCAACAGAGTGTAGTCTGTTTTCACCAAAATCACACTACTCCAGCTGCTGAGAGTATCAAATACGTATAGGCTATGCTATAAAATGCTAAAAACTCAATTGGTAAACTAAAACTGTCATACGAAAAACTTTATACTTTGTCAGCATCTTATAAAAAATAAAAATATAAAAAAAACTAGTGCACTTGTTGCTCGAAATCGATCAATAGTCTAGTACCGGAAGTTATATTAAAACTAATAGTCATAATTTTCTATGAGTTTAAAAATCCAACTAAAAGCGCAGTATGCAACTAATGGATAGACTAGGCCTATTTGATGTATCGATTCATTCGGTTAGCTAAGTTAGGTTAGGAACTTTACTAACCAAACTTCATATATTGAATGAAATAATCGATTTATTGATCGATATATTTATTCGAAAAATTATAGTGTAGGACGTAAGGCATAAAGTGCAGTTTAATTTTAAAATAGATATATTTTAAATATCGATTATTAATCGATATTTTCGGTAAAACTGAGTTTTCACTACTTATGTTATTTTGACTTTTTTTTACTTTATTTACCTAAATTAGACTTTTTTGAGCACTTTTTAAATTTAACACTTTTGGGGGAAACGCCGTTTTCACCCTCAAAATCGCGTTTAAAGTTTGCCAAAAATTATCACAATAAGGCCATAGGTAATTATGTCGACCTCCAGTCAACGCTCTAAAAATTAATTTTTTTTTTAATCTGTTCGTTTTTTAATGCTGATTCCAAAAATGATTTTCATTTTTTGCGGAAACGTCCCGTTTTCCCGAAAAATGGGAAAAACGGGAAAAATAATTTTTTTCCCAAAACCCATGTTGTGGGTACTCAAATTGTGCGGAATTTCCTCCTGAACAAGAATACACTATTAAGTAAAATATCACCGGAAAAGCAACCGCGCTGGCTACTTATGTACTGCCGCATGGCGCTAGCATTGCGGGTGACTCTAAGCCATTGTAGAATGCGGGCTTTATTTTGAGTTAGGTTAGGTTAAGTTAGGTTAGGTTAGGTTAGGTTAAGTTTGGTTAGGTTAGGTTAGGTTAAGTTTGATTAAGTTAGGTTTGGTTAAGTTAGGTTTGGTTAAGTTAGGTTAGGTTAGGTTAAGTTTGGTTAGGTTAGGTTAGTTTAGGTTAGGTTAGGTAAGTTTGGTTAGGTTAGGTTAGTATAGTTTAGGTTAGGTTAAATTAGTTTAAGTAGATTTGGTTAGGTTAGGTTTGGTTAGGTTAGGTTTGGTTAGGTTAGTTTAGATTAGGTTAGTTTATCAATAACATGAGTATTGTAAGTAAACTAACCTAGCCAATCTCAACCTAACCTAAACTAACCTAACCTTAAATAAAGCCCGCATACCACAATTTTAGGTCCATTTACTTACAAAACTCATGTTATTGATAAACTAAACTAACCTTACCAAACTTAATTTAACCAAACTTAACCTAACCTAAACTAATTAACCTAACCTAACCTAACCAAACCTAATCTAACCAAACCTAATCTAACCAAACCTAACCTTACCTAACCTAACCAAACCAAACTTAACCTAACCTAACCTAACCAAACCAAACTTAACCTAACCTAACTTAATCAAACTTAACCTAACCTAAACTAACATAACCTAAACTAACTTAACCTAACTTAACCTAAGTTAACCAAACTTAACCTAACCTAACCTAGCCAATCCTAACCCAAAATAAAGCCCGCATTCTACAATGGCTTAGAGTCACCCGCAATGCTATCGCCACGCGGCAGTACATAAGTAGTCAGCGCGGTCGCTTTTCCGGTGATATTTTACTTAATAGTGTATTCTTGTTCAGGAGGAAATTCCGCACAATTTGAGTACCCACAACATGGGTTTTGGGAAAAAAATTATTTTTCCCATTTTTCCCATTTTCCGGGAAAACGGGACGTTTCCGCAAAAAATGAATATCATTTTTGGAATCAGCATTAAAAAACGAACAGATTAAAAAAAAATTAATTTTTTGAGCGTTGACTGGAGGTCGACATAAGATAGGCCTAATTACCTATGGTCTTATTGTGATAATTTTTGGCAAACTTTAAACGCGATTTTGAGGGTGAAAACGGCGTTTCCCCCAAAAGTGTTAAATGTAAAAAGTGCTCAAAAAAGTCTAATTTAGGTAAATAAAGTAAAAAAAAGTCAAAATAACATAAGTAGTGAAAACTCAGTTTTACCATATTTTCAATTTGATAGTTTCAATCGATATTAGCGAAGCCCAGGAAACTGTACCCCCAATTTATTTTATAGGCTACCAGAAACTAATTTGAATTTGCTTAAACGTTAATATTCTAATGACCATGTCCATGTCAATAAGTTACCTTTCAATTTTGTGATGACAAAAATGGTTCTTTTAACTGTAGTAGTTGTTGTAACTTAGGCCTAAATTGAAAATACACACCTAAAATACAAATTTGTATGACAATTTGACAATTGAAATTGACAAACAATAAATTCTCCAAAATCCAACCTCAAACTTAACTAGACAGAGCTAGCTAAGAAGAGCAGCAGCAGATCTAAGAAGAGAAGAAGAAGAAGAAACGCAGAACAGAACACGAAACGAGACGAAGGAAGGCTGAAATTTGGGTGGAGTAGAGGTAATTCAAAGAAGTCGCGGGAATTTTCAGAAGTGTAGAGGGTAAGCGACCGCACCGCGAAACACGTGACCACGGCGAAGCCACGCCCTTCCCCCAGAAGGGAGGGGCCGGGACCTAGCTGACCGATTTGAGTTGTCGGTACCAACTTGATATGTGATTTAAGTGAAATGGTACCTAGATGAAAGGTTACCTAAAAGAAGGCCTCCCGTGCTGTTATCGGGAAGGGAAGCATAGCACGATAAATTAATACAAAGTCTCTCTCTACCTGACTCTGGTTTAAACATCATGTTTGTTTGATTATCCAAAGACGGGGCTTTATTGAAAGCTTTGTAACGGTTGAAGCTTAGACTAACTTTTGTTTAATCTATGGCTGAAGCTTGATTAATATTCATTTAAAAAAGAATAGTTCCCATGACAATTCCTTAGACTGTGCATTATTATGCATTCCCAATTCCCACAGCCGCCTTTAACTCCAGGCCGCGGCCTTCGAATTCAATTCTGTATGTTTTATTTTCAACATGTTAATAAATTTAAATTTAAATCAATAAAGTGCAAATTAATGAGCTGATGTGACCTGTCTGCCATGTTATTTTATGGGACGTCTGTCACTAAACAACACCACTTGCGACGTTGCCAATTCTACCAGGCCGCGGCCTGTATTTAAAGGTGGTGTGTTCATTCCCCCCTTATCCCTTTTCTGCTCACTCTATCTAATGAATATTCAAGATCAAGAACTCAACTTGAATCAGTATTCAGTAGCCTATTATTTTACGAAAAACTGCTGCTGTTTTTATCTGCTGCTGTATAATCAATATCAAATACATATGCTCAACGGTCGAGATAAACGCTTTTCTGAAAGTATGTGTATGATTAAAGCTTTGTTTGAAAATAAACAGCTGATTACTTTGGGTAGCGCTGGGTTCACAACGATATGGTAGGCATACGGTTAAGTATCGATCGTCGTAGTATGAAAACAACTACTATCGAATATCGTAAATCGATTGGCTTCCATAGCGCCAACCAACCAACCAAAACGTAAACAAACCAGTTTAGCTGCTAATTCATGTTTTCCAATTTTTATTTTATTAATAAAAATGTCATCGTATTTAATTATTAATTGTTTAATGTAAAACAGATTGTAAATAAACTTTGTTAAAAAAAACCAAACCAACCAACACCGACAGACAGAAAAGAGAAGACAAGAGATTACAAAAACTACTAGCACTAGCCTAAAAGGAGAGGAAAATATTTGATTTAATTTATTCCAACATTGTTCCTTTTGATCAGTTTCATGGTGCATAGTGCATTATTATGGAGGAAATATGCAAAGGTCATCTAAACGCTTTTAAAAGTAAGGGGGTGGTAATTTATCTGGCGTTAATTGCGCAAGTTACTGGAATATTAATTTTAAAATTCCTCCGTAATTTAAGTTCTTATATATTCATCATGCTGGTTATCAGCCTTAATCTAATTGGATAATAAACATTTTCATTGGCACATTTTATGCCAGGTTCAGATATTATGTTGTACTTATTTATTTGCATTCACTCTCACTGAATAAAATTATGGCCTTCCATCGTCAAGGCCACATTATGACGTTTGACGACAGACATAGGAGCTATAGGAGCAGCTGCAGCAGAAGGCACCAAGGCAATAGTTTAGGCCAGGTCCGTGAAGTTGGCGTACCCATATTAGCGTATCCACTTTTGATCATACCAATCGTTAGTTC